TTAAATTTTGAGGCGGAAATTAATATTAGTGAAAAAAAAAGAGCTCCGCTTTGTTCGCTGATGAGCGCGAGTCGTTTACGTTCGGTCAAACAGGTTCGATCGGGAGACGTCTTCTTCGATTTCGTTTGACAGGTAGGAGATATCCATCGAGGCGAGTTCGATCGCGGACCATCTGTATCGGTCGGCCGAAATAGAGGCAATAGGTGTATTTAGAGTAGGAGCGAAGGACCACGGTAATTGGACGGAAGCCATCAATTATCGAAGGACGAGAGAGAGTCTTGGGAGAGCTCCGGCGTGTTTCGGTCACTCCCGCCCCTCTTTCCTTGTCTTGTTATCCCCTGATTACCGTTCTCTTTCTCCCCTCGGTCTCTCACGGTGGCTTAATCCTCAAACATCGCTATTGGTGGTCCCGGGGTTGCGGGTTTAGCAAGGTGGTCCGGTATTAAATCATAAATGCCAGCATGCTTGTGTGCGGGGGGCGCATCCTTCCGTCGAAATTTTATTGCGGTGGTAACTGACGTGCGCCGGTGAGGGTCTCTCTTATGTTTCGCCGCTCTGCGCCCGCCTGTACAATCGACACGATTATTCACGCGAAATGATATTTGATCAAAGTAGCATCTTAATTTCCAGCCGCTCGTAAATCATCGCGACCGCAGTTACACGCGAGAACTCGCGTTCTCCTGAATATTCTATTTCCGTATAGTGCTCGCCTACAAACTTGACTAAATTTATATTCTCTTGCATATGAAATCAATATTACCTCGAATATATATAAATTTCATCGAGTCTAGAGCGGATAGTAGACGCTCGCTCGCGAAGGAATTATGCGCTCTTTAACTCTCTCGTAGCGTCAAAAAATACACGAATAACGGACGTTAATATCTTCCAAATTAAATGTCAAGCTCCGGAAGGTAATGAGTCAAAAAGTCAATCATTGCGAAAGGTCAACCATTGATTTCCGAGAACTGAGGGATACACGCGACCTTCTCGCAAATTTCTGCCTGTGATGATGATTTCTTTTTTTCTAGTGCGCTGTTTTGAATAAGGTTGATTAAATTGTGAGGAAGTTACGCGTCACGCGGTGATAGTGCAAAGGCGCTCCGAAATTGCTCCGCAAAGTCAGTCGCCGGGCAATGACGTCGGCTTTCTCCACGTTTTATCGCGCGACCTCTCGTTTGCGTAACAGCCATTTGTCGGACGATACGATCTCGATTGCGAGAAGGAAGAGCGTTGCGGCTTGCTGTACGGCCGCGCAATCTTGAATCCGTTTCCGGTAACGGCGGTGCCGATCTAAACTGAGACGAGAGATTCCTGTCGTCGGAAATTTCACACCTAATTAATTTAGCCCCGCGCTTGTGACGCGCCTTGTCTCGCTACACAGTCGTCATTACATATACGCGCATAATTTGGTGCTGTGCGTTCGTTACATCATCCACGAGGCTAACCTGCTATTCGCACGGGACGATCATAAATTTATAAACGGTGTTTTTACCTCGAACGATCTACGTTTCAAGTACACAGTATTGTTACACGCTGCGTCTGTTTACCGACCTGTTTTTATCGGCACTTTTTGCATCACCGCTTGGAAAAGCCCCGTCGCTTGCTATTCTTTCTTCAACGGCGATGGATTAACGCCTTCTTTCGAAACTCGGGTACTCACCTCTGAAGATGTCGGAAGATCGGTTGGAGAGATTAGAGCGTGAAGAATTCTCGAAAAGGTACCGAATTTATCATTACGGTACAGTTGCTTAACGCGCGTTCTACAATGGAATAGTTGTAAACGAAAACGCGTGTGTAAAAATAAACAGAAAAGAAAGCCCAGCGATCTCGCTCCGTAATCCGTAAAATTTCCTCCCGACGTGAGGCGGAGGAAATAATTAACGCTCCGCGAGGTATCCTTTATCCCGCAAAGTTTCGATAGCTATATATATATATATATATATATATAGGGCTTATAAGTCGATTCAACTCTGGGGCCTCTAAGTACCTCGGATCCTTTTTTCTCAGTGGCCCGATTAACTTTCCGATATAGACGGTACACGAACGGCCGCGTGTATTCGATTCTGCCTATGCGCCCCATACAATATGCATCTTCATTCGGAACCAGTTTTTCTGCGTGCATCCGCACGCGCGCGCGCACACACGCACACGGCACGTACATAGCTGCACGAGTGCGCGCATTTAAAAAGCCACCCATCTGGATCGGCCGGCGCATATTGCGGACGCATGCCGGGGCATAAAAGAATCCTATCCATAATCACGCGGCGGCTCCTTGGAGCCGCGCGTTCTCATGCCGCGCGGTGGATCGCAGGAAGCCGTCCTGTCGGAGATCGCCAGCTTCTTCCGGGAAGGTCGATCGCGAAGCCGCAGGCGAGTTTCCACGTAATCCAGCGGGGCGACCGGAGGCGAAGAGCACGCGCCTCTCGTTCGGAATTTAATGGCGTTGGAAGGATAGGCGAAGACGTCGTCGCGAGATCCCTTTTTGCCGCGCCGGCAAAAATTGTACTTTCACAAGACGTTCCGAAATTGCGACCACTCGTCTCGCAAAATGCGTCGAGTCGATGTGTAACGTCGAGGATTTAGGAAATTTCATTGACGACGATATAGTTGCGGGAGAGAAAGAGGTCGGAAAATATTACCGCGGAAATTCATTTAGATTCTCTGACAGAGTGATGAACATGATTTGATAAAATGACGAAAACTAAACTCCTTTCCTTCATTCTCTTCTTCGACATTTCTCCTCGCGTAGGTTCATCCGTCTCTTTGATGGCCGCGAGCTTCTTTTCCGCGTCTCGACCGAGGCTCGCGAGCCACTTACGTCGGGTTTACACAAAGCTGACGGGGAAGTGACTCAAACGGCAAGTTTCACCTACTTATCTTTTTCCACGGATGATAATAGGACAGGTAAGTTCACTGCTTTTCCTATTAGCTCGGTATGCCCGCGACGTAGTGAGCAGGTATGTCGTTGAAAGAAAGAGGCCTGTTTGGTCGATAACATTTTCTCCGGATAAAGTTTTGAAATTATACCAGGTGGTCCAATTTCCTCACTGATTTTTCAAATAGTTTGTCTCTTCTCGTAAAAGTGGAGATCCCGAGTCACGAGTTCCTTTCTTAGGAACTTGACAATTTTCTAGCCTCGTTTTTTGTTCGACTCACGAAACTTGACGGGATTTTAAACGAGATATTGGAAAACGAGAAAGAAATCTTTGAATTAGTGGAAGAATATGTAGAAAATATTTTGAGTGCATCGAAAGATTAATATTCCGCGTAAAGACAAATTTCGATCGAAATGGCGACCTCGCGCTCCGGATTTGCGAGAATATCGTTCCCCGTTAGAGACGTAAATAATAGGCAACGGAACTCGTTTCATTGTTTATGCCGTCGCCTGGAAAACCGCAGCAATAACGCATTAGACCGTGACCTCCTCGGTGAACTCTCCTCTCGATGGTGGTGTGATAATGGCGGCGGCGAGATGTACGAGAGAACCGTCCGCGCGTTTCTTCTTTCCTCCTCTTCTTAATTTCCCCCGGCGAAAAGCGATAAAGCGAACCGTAATTTTCCTTCCACACCTCCGGAGGTGTCGCCGATTTATCCCGCGCGTTTATCGATTTGTCGCAATTTTTTTCTGCCGGGCTCTCAACGCGCCTCGGGCGATCGATTGATCGATCGATTCGGCCGACGTTAGAAAATATTCTATCGAGCGGCGGTCTCTCTTCATCTATCTTCGCGCGTTGCTGCGCAAGATAATTGGCGCTACGAGCGAAACCACTCGACGTGGTACGGTTGTTTCCTACGAATTTTCCGTGGTAGGCGGGAAGATGATGTCTGTATTGGAGATCGTTAAAATTGCAACGCCGCGAGTCAGAAACTTCGCAGTTGGGAAATCTACGACGTATATCCCCGACTTGAACTACCGATTTCCCGAATGATCGTCGATGATTTTTAACGTACATGTTGCTTAAGGGGACAATTCTCTGGAAGTTCAATTCAACGTTTTCTTCTTCCGAAAGCAACAACACACCGTAACTCTCTTCTCGTGCCTAGATTTGCAATTCATCGAACTTGTGTCAATACAATTAAGTAGCACGGCTCGCAACATTGTCGGTCACATTGTTTACTCGTTCGCGGTTATCCGCCAGTGTTACCGCGGCGTTTATCCGAACCGCAAAACTGCGGTCGCAAATATTTCAATCTGTTACATCGCTAGCGGCCGCAACGGAAAAGTGCTGCCGTCTAAATATTTGCCGAGCACTTCGGCGGCAATCGTGACTATTTGTTTCTTCACGCTCGCGCACGAGGGGCGACTTTCGTGGGAAGCCACGCGGAGTCCTCTCGCGTTGAACGTACGCGCCGATGAAATATCGCGCTCGACCGGAAATTATCGGTTATTTATGCTCAAATCTACGAAAGGGGGGGGGGGGGTTGTATTTTAATGAGCGTACATTTTCATCAAAAGATAAACGTTGCTCCGGAAATATATTTCGAGCCGCTCTCATTACATCTCAGCGCGAGAGTCAACACGGAGAATCGCTGTAATAACGATGTGCGTGCGGTCTCTTTGTCGCCGCGAGTATAGTGCGATCTGAAAAAGTTCCTTTCCATTCTGCACTTTGCATACATTACGACCGAACGCTCTCGCTGGAAAATTATCGAACAAAGCGCGTACTGTTATCGGTCCCGCGAGAGTTAAACACATACCTCTCGTCCCCGTACATTCTTCCCATTAATTAGCCTCGAAAAAGCGGAATCATGGCGCCAGCGTGAATCACTCAAACTACACGTTCCGTCGTCGAGACTTCGCCTATTTCGATATGCCGCAGGCCATGGAATAAAATTATCGCCGGCCTATAGATGCACTTACGTAAACGTCGTTGCGTGTGTTGCACCTGCGTATATACGCAATAAGCTCGATCGATCTGCGCAGATAAATCCCGAGGATCTCGCTGAGAAAGATGGAGATCTAAATCGATACTTTGCTTCCAAAATTCGATCGTCTTTTTCACTTCGGTCGTGAGGGGAACGCGGTTTAAGAGGCAGCAGCTTCCAGCTGTTCGTTCTCGGCTAGATCGGCTACCTCCCGACAGCTGTCGAGACGTTCGACCGCGTGCACCAGGCGCTTCTTCAGCTTCGCGAATTCCTTGACGGAAGTCATCTTGCTCAACGCAGCGGGTTTCGCGTCCAGGTGGCCGGATTTTCGCGACGTGAACCGAAGTAAGGCGCTCACGCCGGCGTCGGCGATTTCCTCCCAGTCCTGAAAAGACCGATCGTGGAAAACTAATTTGAAATCGTCGTCGGTCGGTACTCACGAGCTCGTCGCGCAGCTGCGGCTCGAATCCGATCGCGGCTTCGAGCATCGCGTACTTATCGTCGTTTACATTGAGCTGCAACAGCAGGAGCAGTAACCTCACCGCGCACTGCAAGCCGTGGCCGGTGCGTTCGCGTTCCTGCAACAGAACCGCCGAATCGGTATCATTCTGCTTCTATTATATTTCAACGAAAACTCATTGTCGTGCGGAAAAGAGGAAAATTCCGACTGACTGCGCGATAGAACGGCGAAACTTTTCCCTCATTATCTACCCGCGCGGATCGAATTCCCTTCCCATAAACGTGTGCCATAAATCTCGCAAATAATAAGCCACTCGAGCGCGACGACGAGGGGATCGGGTAACGATCACATGCGCGTTGATACGTTTCGCGATTGCCATCTCCGCGTCCAGATCGGCCCGCGATAAAGCGTGGCGTATCGGCCGTACCTCTCGCCAGCGAGGGCAACTGTAACGGGCAATTACTGTGCGCGACCGGAGACAGAGAAATTCTGAGCTTTCTCAGCGCTGTACACGCTCTTTTCATCAGGCTTTAGAGTAACGGAGAGAAAATGCAGACAGTAGTCGGATGATCCAAAAATGGAATTTGATCGAGTTTGCGAATGTCGGTCAATTACCGCTCGTGCGATCGCGAGATCCTCCAGAAGCGCGAAGATCGCGCGATAGGTCGACTCCAGGAGGAACGGCAGGCCGGTCGCGGCCAGAGACCGGGTGTTCCTCTCCCTCACGGCGCGCAGCATCTTCCTCTCGATGTTTCTCAACTGGGTCGACAGCAGCCCGATCTCGTTCTGTACTCCCGAAGCAAAAAAACGTTAGGGCGGAGAGGAATTAATCGTCTGTTGATCTGTTGATTACCGCGATTCTGTCGGCTTCCTGCCGACTGCGAAAGTGCGCCTCCATTTGCGACTGGACCAACTGTACGTGATTATGCGCGATGGTGGTCGTAAAGTTTCCAGTGGCCTTGTCTTTGAGCCTATTCAGCAGCTGCTGAACCACCAAGGCTATCGAGAGCCCGTCGTTCGATTGCACTCGGTACCGATTGCTAGTAGCACCGGAAACGATTGTCACCACGCTGCCGGTTTGCACGTGCTGCAGCCCGAGCACGTTCCAATTTTGCCGTTGTACGTCCCCTGTAAGCTCTGTCGAGGAGACAATGATTGTGCGTGAGGAATTTTTCGCGAAAAATTATATATAAAATATTACTGCGTTTTGAAATCATTTTTCAGAAATAACGCCGTTATATATTTGCCGAAAAAATAGCGATTAAAGCGCGGACATGCTGTGTAAAATTCAAAAGGGCGCATTTTTATGATTGATATTTTCGCGGGAGGAAAGAGGGATTCACTTAACGAGAGTTTTACCGGCTCTAAATTACGAATCCACCAGGTGTGCGAAGCTTAAAGTCGAGGGGCCGACAAAAGGAAAGAAAAGGCCTTCGTGATTGGAGAGGTCCGGGTGAGGCCCCGGTGTCTGATTATCGTATTAGGTGGGCCGGGAGAGGGCCGTGTTTAAGTCGAGAGAGACTGGATTCCTTAATATCGCCGTTCGCAAACGAGACGTCCTAATTCTATCCACAATTTCCTGAGCCGTAATTTCCTACAGCGGGCGGAATACGAAGCGGTCAGAGTAAAAAAGAGTTTTTAGGGAATCCTTTACGATGGTGGGTTCGCAGGGCAGGATCGCGAAGCGAGACAACAATCGCGAACGATCGAATCTTGTTTCTCAGGCTACGCGTTAATCTTAAAGTCGGCACAGGTGTACTTTTCGCGCGCGACTCTCATATCTTACGAAACAAGTTTTTTATTTCACACCTAAACCGATTGAAATTCCAATGTATATAAATGCGTGTATATATATATATCTCGTGGTCCATTAATGTTTATATACCGAACTCAAACGGTCCCTCCGGTTGTATCGAGATTTTACCGCGACTGGCCGCACAGAAAAAAACTCGTCGAGGAAAGATTCGAGGGGATATCTTTATCGCGGTTGCAGCCCTGGTCACGAGGGGGCAGATGGGGTATTATAAACGACGGTGCCGATGGATTTACCGGGAAACAGCTGGCTAAAAGCCACGAGGGGCTCGCTGCACTTGATGGTTGCCGTGAAGGTGGACGTGTTCTCGGGTGGGCAGGCCCTCAGCATCATCTTCAGGGGCAGTTGGGCCGTCTTCTGAAGTACGCGCAGGCTCCCACGATCCGTCTCGTAGCTCGCCGTGATTCTCACGTCCGACGACATCGCCGGCAAGTCCACGTTCGCGTGGATCGTCGAGTGCAGCGTTTGACGGTTACCTTCGCAACAGTGCGATTAATTGGCGCCCGAATCGACCGAATTTCGTTCAAGCAGTGAGGACACACGCGTTAGCCGGAAAACGTTAGACGGATCATCATTCTATCTTTGATCTTTGAATGTCGCTTTGAGAAGAGAAACGAGATTTCCGATCGGCATGCGGGAGACGATCGACTTTTGCTTACAAAGATTGGCAATAACGTGACAATCTTTCTCGGCGACGAACGGCCTCGAGACTTCGATGCATACTTGAACGTCGCGAAGCGTCGTGTATGATGATAATTCTATGGTGATCCTGCACATAAAGTTACGACCATCCGCCGACTCGTCCTTAGCGTCGTCCTGCTTTATGCGCGGATAGGGTTCCAAGTCTGGCGATATCGTCACAGACACGATCAGTTCGGCGTCCAAGTTGACGTCGCTCAGCTGATTGCCTTGTGTAATTTCGATAATTAATGTTGCAGCAGAGATTTTAATGTATAATTTAATTAATGAAATTAGATGTGCAGCGGTTTTCCTCGGTAGGAAGATCTAATTATAGATCGTGTGCGTGCGTGTGTCACACTAATGACTGATACGAGCGGTGCGTATTAATTCGTGGTTTATTTACTCATACCGGAAGCCTTATTTCTCTTCGCCAACTTGCGGAGCTCCATGAGCTCATCTTCGGCGGCTACGTAATCGTAACCGCGTCGATGAAGAGGAGGCGCGATAAATAAAGACGGCTCGGAACCCAAGTAGCAAGCCTCCAGCTGGCCTTCCTCGGAGAGAACGACGAGTATGCCGTATAAGTGCTGAAAAAGCACAAGTATGATAAATAAACGCTAGATACAGTTTGCGTCTCCTAAAAGAAAAAATCAACTTAGTTGGGAAAACCGTAGATAAAGAAAATCACATGAAACCCGAAACATGGCGTGTATATCATAGTTATCACATACCGGTAGATATGCAAGAGGAGGTGAATTAACGACATACTTGTAAAGACAGCCTAATTTTTCCAAATACGACAGGAGAGAAAGATATGGAACAAAACGCAGCTATATGTCAACAACATGCATCGACCGTTTTTTACAACCAAAAAAGGAACGTTTGTTTTTTTCAATGCGCGGCTGAAAATTTTCCGCGTCCATTTCCACGAATGCGTCTTCGATTCGTGCTCGTTCGCCGGATCGGAAAGCGCCGTTTCTCACAAATCTTCCCGCTCGGGGGATAAGATAAAAAATAATCGAGCTAGTTGCGCTATTTTTATAATTTAGCGTCCGGCCCGATTTAGACGGTTTTTCTAAGCTTCCTCCCCTTGCGTGGCATGTATATTACAGGGAATAACAAGTTTTGCGCCGTCGCAGCGATAGCTCGCTGATTAAACGGAGCGGAGTTCTCGGTATTAAGCTAATTAGCCAGCAGTTTGTGTCCTCCGGAAAGACAACAATGGCAACCTTGCTGGCCGCGCGCTGCGGCAGGACGATAAGATAAAACCAGGGTGATAATTGCCAGCTCCTCGTCCTTCCCTGCACTCTTGCGGTTTTTTCCTTTCCCGGTAGGTCGTACGCCTTTCATTGGCGATGCTCGAGCCTTGAACACTCCTCAGAACGATCGTCATCGTCGCGTGTGTTCCTCTCGTCTTTCCCCTTTCTCCTCTTTTTCTCCTTTTTTCTCCCCTCTCTCGCGGTTTTCAATATACCCAAACGACCGTACGGTCCGTGAAGTAACCACCTCCCCCTCTCATGAGCCATCCGATTATTATCTCACATTGCATGCATCCTACTAAAGACGATATCTTTCTTGTCTTTTACGACGAAAGGAGTTTTATCGAGCTGTACATTTTAGTCGTCGATATCGTGTTTGTTACATTGCATCCATACCATGCGATCAATCGAAAACCGAAATTTGGCAGCTATTATCCGGGACGGTTGTTAGCTTCTGCTCGTAAGGATACGCGATAGATCCGAGCCTGACGCTTGTCGGAGGAGCAGCAGCAGCTGGTGGTGTCGATAGAGCCAACACGGAAGAGGAACACCGATATGGCGGGGGCCCCACTCGTTTCTTTGTCAAATGTCATCGGCTCTGATTGCAGACTATCGTAAATATAGATAGACTCCGTCGAGGTCTTTTCTCTTCCTTCTCCTCCTCCTTTCTCTCTTCTTTAAAGAAATTCTTTTATATTTTTTTCCTTTTTTTTTCCACCGTCTTTCTCCATCGTCAATGTTCGGTAAAGATTAATGACTTCCCCGATAGATACGTCTCAACTATCGTCAGATCGCCGCCCCATAGATCCCGGATGCTCTCGTCAAGAATGAAATTGTAGAGTAAATTAGAAACCGCGCGATTTGTCTTGGGTTATCAGCATGAACTATTTACTTGGGTCCATGGTTGAAATTTCCTAAGAGGTACGTTTGTTTCACGTCCGTCGCAAGAAGTTCGATAATGGAGACACGCGCTTATATCAGTGGAATGGATTTGTCGGAAAAGAAGCACGTGTATGACACGTGAAAGTTTAATCTTAGTTCTCTCTCTCTCTCAACGACGCGGCGACTTTCCGCAAAGTGACACCGTGGAACGCGCCGAATACACGCTGCAGGATTATGCAATCGGTTACCTGAAAATGTGCTCGAGTTACGGCGACCGGAGCGAGAGGCAGCTGAGCCGACCACTTGAGAGTCGTACCCTCGTAAATCATCAGGGTGTTCGTGTCAGCGATTACGAGCACCATCAGCTTGCCATCCGGTTCTATAAGCATCGCCGCTCAATTAGCACACTTATTTCCTACCAGTTAAAAGTAATTAGGCGTGTCGCATCGCGCGCCGACGATCGTCTACGAGCGAGATTATCTGCCTCACTTTTATTTCTTCTGGTTGCGCGAGAGAAAGGGAAGATAGCGAAAAAAGACCGAGCGATAAAAAGAAACGAGACGACGTCACTTCTTTCTCTGTGAATTTTTCATCCCATCATACCTATCACGTAAGCCTGAAAGCAGAGGGCCTTGTACTCGAGCCTTTTCGCATACTTGAGCGAGACGCAATTGTCCTTGAGACAGTAGAGATTCTTTTCGCCGAGCACGAGGATCCCTACTTCGAAGCTGCTCAGAGTGACGGCGTCGATGTCGAGAACGGCTTCCCCGATATTGTAAGTCCAGTCCGGCTCCAGATGCTTCGGGCCCTCCGCGCGATCCTTGTTGCCGCCAAATTCCGCCATGCTTTTGTATCTGCGAAAAAATGACGTGTGCATTTTCACGACGATGTCCCACCTTTCCCACCCGCCCGAACGTTCTGCCGACTTGCGAACTCGAAAGACGCAACCCGATACATCGCGGCCACGTTACACCGGCAGGTGTTCATTGACGAGAGCATTGACTCGGTGGAACCTGCCTGTAGCATTCGAGGACCCACGAGGAGCTCGGCGTTACGAAGACGTCGTTCCGCGAAACGTAGACGATCGGCTCCGGCAGCAGCCGATTCCCGAGAACCAGGCTGAACGCGTGGGTCTCCTGCTCGTAGAAGAGGAGCGCGCCGTCCAGGCATTGGACGCAGAGGAAGTCCCGGCCCCGCACCCCGCCGAACGGGCCCGTCGTCAAGGACGCCGGAAATCGCGCCAACTGATGCTCGTATGCGACTTCCAGGTCGCAGCGGTCCCCTGCAAAAGGGAGGGTGTGAGTCAATCTGTTCTTCTCGCGACATGACGTGACGATAATAATGTTTTCTTCTCTTTCCGCCCGAATTGTAATCCGTTAAATCCGTACTCTCGGATAAGACGGTAACCTTGTATGCGATAAATTTATCGAAACGGAATTTCGCGTTCAAGCGCGCGAAACGGCGCGATAGCGCTCCTTGTCGCCACTTCCGTCAAAAATCGTCGACAAATCGTTATGCAAACGTAGATGCATCGCGTAGTGCTTTGCACGATGTAGCAATCATTCGTTTCGCGCGAATATTAATTTGCATAATTTCCTCAACGAGTTTGAACAACTGTGCATTTTAATAACTTCTTGATCTTTCGAATATTGTTCCGTTTTCATTCAATCGATCAGAACATGAATTTTTCGCTCGGAGAGGCGCGGATTTCCTCGATTGCTGAAACGGCACTCGCGTTATCGTCCGCTCTGCGTTTATCGGACAGGCGATTACTTTGACATTAAATCAGGCCGATTATATAGTGTTCGCTGCAGTTAATTGAAGAAATAAATATGCGAGATTGATGTGCGGGCGGCGCTAGACAAGCGGCGAACAATCGCGATTCCTGTCCGTATATAGGTCAGGCCGCAATTCATCGTGGCGGACGAGAGCGGATCAGTGTTTTGCGGGCTCTACAGCGTGGCGTTATAACGGCCTATGAGAAAAAAAGATAAGGACGGATTTCTACAGACTGTGCAATGAGAGAAAGCATTGAACATACAAACAAATATTCGCAATTGCTAGATATATAATTTATTAATTTAATATATTATATACGATGCTGCTTTGTCCCCTCGAAAATTGCGAGGGAGGCGGTGAATTGAAAGATATTTTGAAAGTTGACGACGGTCTTAAATCATTTCGAAGAAGCCGGTCGCGCGGTGATTCGTGCTCTAAATTCGGCACGCGGAAATCGGACGGCACTCCTTCGGAGGGGAATCGCGCGCTCGATATAAACGATGTAAAACGGCGTTCGCGAATCGTTACGAAACGCGCTCGGTTGTTGTTGTTGCTGCTGCCTAATATCGGCCAGATTTAACAAGATACTAGCTCGAGGCGCCTCTCTATCCCGGCCTGTGTGTAACACGACCGAACCGGTCATTTGGGTCGCTTTTTCATCGTGACTCGGGGTACTTGGATAAGCTTTTAATCGATACCCGCGACGGAAATTGTGGCACGACGTTTCTCGATTGAAAATAAACCCCTATCCTTCGCCGGAGAAACTTAATCTTTCCGAGCAGTCGTCAAACTTTATAGCCGCGTGCTTATAAAGCGCAATATACGAGAGCGAATCGATCGCGTTCTCGTTAGATTCGAAAGATGTTAGTTGCGTGTAACATACATATTTTCGTGTCAATAGGCGAAGTTTATATAAGTTTCCGACGCAGCACGCCGGTCTATTTATTTCCGGTTACGTAACCCCCTTTGCATAGACCATTAGTACTAATCGATAATCTCACCGGTAATGGCGTTCTAGGGTTAAAACCGCTCCTTGATCTTTCGAGTCGAGGCGGGAAATTGGAAAAAAGTCCGTCGGCGTTACGTAAATCGACGACGTGGTGTTTCGAGTTTTCGATTGACCGCGATGGAGCGCGACGCTGCACTTTGATACGCGATATCGCGCGAACGAACGCGATCGGAATAAACAGGCAAGTATCTCTCACTGTCGGACGGCGATTCTAGCTCGTTTCACGGAGAAATGGTGCAATTCGCGCAAACAGGAGCGAAGGCAATGACGATTATTGGCTTTACAAAGGCAAAATCATTCGGTCATAATGGACACGTCGTGAGATATCGGAAGGTGGGGATCGTTGTTCGCGAAGTAATCCGATCCTTCCTGATGATAATTGTCCAATTCCACCAGTCGTATCGACGGGCATAAGAAAAATCATAGTTATGACAATGGTAGCAGTAATAATGCTGATAACTGCGGGCAAACGATTACAGTAATGATGATAAAGATAATGGAAATACGAAACGTAAAATATGCAGAGTATAATGTCTATTCGCGTTTTCTTCGTCAAGTCCAACGCCAAATCCCAATTAGCGGCTTGAAATCCTAATTAGCGAATTATTCACGATGAGGTAGGCACTGCGAAAATTCCAGCCGGCCTTGCGCAAAGTTCTCACGACCGCTCGATCTTGTTAGCCGCGAGGGTTCTCGCGATTAATGTTACTGTGACGACACTAAAATTAATATCCCGACAACACGCGCATTGTGATCCAATTAAAAGAACAGAAGAACCGCGCGACGGCGAGGTTTTATGAAACATATGAATTTCCTGCGGCGATCGTTGTTGTTTTCGAGCCGAATATATAATTTGCGTGTTTTCGAGCAAGATGTATCCGCTTAAGAAGATGCGCCGTCGAAACGTTTCTATTATTAAAAGGACACGTAGATAGAGATTCGCGAAATCAATCAACAGAAGAAAAAAGGAGGAAAGTGAAAACATTTAGAGACAGATGTTCAAGGGTGCACAATTTATATTATTATAATTAATTGCGTATTTTTTTAACGGCGGGCTTGTGTGATACAAACCGTGGTCGACGGATCCTTGGCTCAAAATGATACTATAAATGGCGAGCTTGGTGGGTGTCAGTATCGCGAGTCGGGTGTCCTGCGAGCCTCTGAAACAGATCGATACGATCGGTGTTGGTGAAAATACAACACGAACAAGTATAGCCAGATATAGAGCGTGATATCTAGTTACAGCGGCAAAGATATTAGTTGTATCTAGACGCATCTACCAGGAAGGAAAATATCTGAAAATTGCACTCTCACGGCCGACCGTTGCATCCTCTCTCTCTCCGACGCGTCGAGAATCGAACAAAAGAAATGAAGCGGTCTCACTTACGAGACGAATCTTCCCGCCTTCATGTCGACGATGCACTCGCCGATCTGCGTCTCGATGATGAGGTCCGAAGACTTGTAGCCGCTCGGCTCCTTGCTCTCGTCCAGCCATTGCGACGACGGGCAGTATATCCTGAGGTAGCCGCTGTGGCTGCCGACGACGACGATGTCCTTCCTGTCGACGTCGAACAACGGTGCGACCAGCAAGCTGCGCCTGTCGAAGGACTCGTTCACCCCGCACCTGGTACGCCACCATTCCTTCGTCTTAAACAGCGACATTTCGCCTGCATCAGCGTTCGTCGGCGGTTCGCTTGGGCGAAAAACAGGTTGCTATGACGCCGCGCCGTCACAACACAGCTGTCCATTAAAAGACGGCGGCGGCGGTAGAGTCGTAGTTTCTCAATTAAAAATGCATAACGAAATCGTGGCGCGCTGCACCATCGTATCAAAGACGTGTACTTGTCGAGGAAATTTCTTTGTCGACGACTGCTGCGCGAATCAAACGCGACTATTCTGTCAATTTATTGTTCAACTCGTAATCACTGTTGACGTTTTAATTTGACTTGGGGAAGAAGATTGCATTGGTTTTGATTTTTTTACTTCTTATTTTTTGTACCTATCTACTTTTTTCTACGTATGCTGCATTGTTTTATTTCTGTCTCAATGCGCTTTTTTCTTTTTTTTAATAATATCGATCTGCACGGAAACTAAATTCGCGTTTACTTGTGAACCACATTACTTGATGAAAGCTTCGCGGCTTCGTCAGCAGATGGCAGTGCATTGTTCTAAATGACAGCGGTCGGAATGACAGGTTTCCACTTGCTGTTCGGCCTTTGATCGAAAAACAATCAAACAAGAGTTATTTCGAACGAAAGTATTAGAAATTACAATCGCAAGAGATTGAAAGGAGATATACGCATGACGTAGGATTAATCGTAAAAAGTAGGAAAAATAACTGATCAGATTGGTCTTTATTCGAAACGAGGTTACAGTGTTTATTAGTATCGTATCGAGAGACACGATTTTCGTTTCGGATGTGAAATCGACTTTCCTTCGAATAAATAGAATTGTGTACTTTCTCCTAACACTAATCACCATACTACATTAATATTCACTAAACTAATATCGACTTTCGCCGAAATTGCGAATAGATTCGCATTTCCTTCGATCGAAGAACTGGCTGCGCAAGATAGAAAAGCCCGACGTTTTCTGAATCCCTTCGAACGACTCGCGCGGCTGCCTATTCAGCAATGTATTCAATAGTTGGATCCGTTTTTTCCTCCAGCGGGAATCGCTTCCTTGCTTTGCCTGCAAATAAGGGGGAACGTGAGATAACAGCGCGAGCAACGTAATTCTCTTTCTCTTACTTCTTGTACCACAACAACTCGAGCGCAAACACGATTACGCTGAAGAGCAATCCGTAAGCAATCGCGACTATCGCGAAGTAGCATTCCGTGAAACCGATGTTGATGAAGCCGGTCTGGCTCGAGCACACCGGCTTGTCCGTGTACATACGATGCTCGTCGCGTTGCTTGAGCCCGTATTCTCGCAGCTTTAGAGCCCTGAGAAAACATTCCGCATAAATCGAAGATGAGACGCAAACGAGACAAACTCACCCGTTCTTTATTATCTCCGAGTAAGGCGAATGTTTTTGTATCACTAGAAGCGGCAGTATCAAGTTGAGGTAATCGATCTCGGTAATGCCGCACTTCTCCTCTTCTTGATACGTCTCTTCTATCATGTGGTACATCGGACCTCGTCCGCCGTGGAACGCAAAGGGTTCGCTTCTCACGCGACGCACCCCCTCTTCCAAACTCATCCAGCCTTTCGGCTCAATTTTCTCCTGCAGGATCGCCTTCCTCACGGGATCTTGAAAGGACTAGACGTTCAAGACGATTCAGTATGTGCGTAAACATTTCCACACTTCTGATCTACCTTGAAATAATGTCGATTGTACACGGTATCGTGCACGCCGAAGCTTAACGGGCTGCGTAAGAGATCCTCGGGAGTCTTGATAGAATCCGTGGTGGATTGCAGGAGAGCCACGATATTTGCCGTGTAAGCCGCGTAAAGGCTGAGAGAAGCTAAGAGTAGCATGAGAGTGACGATTCGAGTCGTGACTCGGTACGGTTCGTACGAGTATCCTACAAACGTACAGATTATCCTTTCAGCTGAGACAGTCAAAAATACTTGATTTGTGAATTAGGTCTCATGAAGAGTGATGGAATGTTATTTTTTTGTCAAAGTTTATGGAATTGCGTACCTTGTTGCGCGAACGCGCCTAAAAGAACGAGAAGATCATCGCCCATTGTCGGCTCGCCGATATTGGGCTGGCTCATTTTTGAAGTTCCTCGAAAATACTCCCATCTCATAGACAAGTGTAGCAAACAAAAGACCAAGAGTAGGAACACGGCGATCGCTATCCAGACGTCTCGTTCGAAGGGCAAAATGAATATATTTTTCACCGTCGACAGCAACGGTCGCCGGAACACGAAGGACTGGCTGCGCAAGATTTCACACGTCGTGTTAGACAGTGTGATCGGTAAATTGGCAATAATAAAAAAGTACGATGCGACAAGGTATTATTAAATAGCAATAAACTATATTTTACACTTTAATGTTTTATGCAAACTGCAAAATCACAGCGTGCGATACTTATCGCGATATTGCAGTTTAACGCTCGAAGGCGGTATGCTAATCAGCTTTGCTGCACGATGTCGGAGGTCAGGAAAATTTCCATGATAAGCTTGGAATTACGTGTTAGCTGCGCGCGTGTAGTTTATTATGAAAAAATAATTAATTCCTTTGATTTATTTTTATTGCGAGCGACAACATTTCAATGTAGGCAAATTCCAAAAAATAATTTCCGCGGTAGTAACTTTTGCATACATAAGCCTGTAGTTAAGCTTTGTAGTTACACTGTTTTCTACTACGTCGTGCTAGTACAATGCCTCTACTTTATCGACGTGGGACTCAGTGCTTCATAGATCCTTGATTCTTTACTGGCAATGTGAACAAACCGCCGAGCTTGGCGCTCGTTTCTTCTTCGTGCTTCTTTCTGCTGAAAAGCTGAGTCGGTACAATTTCTCCTTCAATTGTTCTTACCTACGCTTATCTTGAAAAATCTAATCGTAGTTACCGATTACATTCCTAGTTGCATTTACTATTTTAAATATTTAGATATTGAGGAATGTCGTCTATGCGATTTATTAAGATTCATGTGCGCATGTCGAACTACATTTTCAGATATTCGTAGAATAAGTCATGAAACTTAGGGGAACATTAACTAAATCCTTTTCTCGTAAAAAAATCCAAGCAATTGTACGGAAGCGCGATATTTTAGCAGGATATTTTTACGCTCAGGGTATTCAGCACTCCGTAATTTGTATATGTTGAAACATGTAAAGAATATTATTGAGAGCGATAAAGTCATTCACATATTGATGGGAACGAATATCTATGACGAGAAGCAAGCAAAGGAAAAGGAGGAATTGGAACAATGTGAAGAGATTGGTTGAAGGTCAGATGCTTTCGACTCGCGAAAATGATATCCTTGTTTATTCGTGATATAGAAATAATTTGCGATTATTGAAGTAAGATACATCTTTCTCACCCGTCTATGATATAAGGAATGCGTTATGTTATTCAGCAAATTTCTGGATAGAAGTTCCGTAATAGCCGTATGATTATCGTCGAGGAAAAACAGGTAATCCCAATACGTCGTGCAAGTTCTCTTATTTCTGTAATTTTTTGTCTTGCAAGTGCGATTGTCTCCTTAAGTATCTTCAAAGATACAAATGTCTCTATTTTTATTATGCGGAAGACGTGCCGTTATAACGACAATAGAGAATGCTACAAAATATATATCATGAGATATATAAGATATATATCGATTGAAAAATCTCACATGCTTCAAACGTGATATTGTGAAACACTATTTACATTTTATGCGATCAGCATACCGCCTTAATTTAATCTCACAATGACAACAAGTTTAACGCGTGTCTTCGCCTTATCGTAGCAGTATTTGTTCGTAAATTGGACAGCGCGATTTTACCCAGTGCGTGTATACAATTGGATGTATTGCAACACGTTCGAGCGATCTGCCACAAAGTAAATGCTAGTGCCGATGTCGATCTCGCGTCGTTGCAGCATTCCCACCATCCCGCTCCAAGATCCGTTCTCATCTTTGTATCCCCAGGTGTTCGTGATGTTAAAGCTTATCCTGTCGTGCGAAAAGAAAAAAACTAAACTTCAGTGTGCTCGTTTTTCAGGATTCGTGATGCACATTTAATTTTTACACAGTAAGAAAAAAATCGTATCACACAATTGACGGATACCGTATTTAGATCAAAGTTTAAAATGAAATCACTTATTTTTTTACTGATTTTGACCAATTTGTTTCTGAAGAAATTAATGATATTTCACGTTCAAGTTATATTCTTTTTCTTTCTTCTCTTTTTTCCTAAAAATACAGCAACACTTTTGTACGCGCTAATATAACATAATAATGTTGAATGTCAGGGAAATAGTCGAGGAGCTACGCCGTAGCGTTTCCTCGCAAACAAGCTCGACGATACTGTCGGATCGTAAGTAACCGGTTGCATAATTTTCGTCGATGAACGCGGCGCACGCCTATTTAATTAGACGATCGACTCGACTCCATAATCCTAATCGTGCACCGTTGCTCGAGCGCGATTTACGATCGTTTTCGATGTCCGTATACCATAATTGCCCTGTTCGCTATTATGACCTCGTTAATTAACCTTGAGATTGAGTTACGGTTTTATTAGGTTGCTCCGAGCATTCGCTGGCATTCACGATTGAGAGATTCGCAACGTGATTGACAAGATCGACGACACTATCGTCAAAATTACTCACGTTGCATTCATCCGGTTAACCAAGTGAAGTATCCAAAGATAATTAACCTTTGTGATGGTATCTATGTGCCTGTCTTCGAGATCAGTCAGGTGATTTAACGTATCAGTATTCGTTAACTGCAAATTACAAATAGTTTTACAAAAATATCTGTTCACCTGCACGAAATTTAGATTTCGTTTATTCGCATTATTATATCATCGTTTTGTTCATAGTTACGTTCGCAACAACTACTTATTCGTCTTGTATCTCAGCATTTTTTATCTTTTATTACGATAGGATAATGTTACTATGATTATAGTACCAGCCGATATATCTCGTCTATTGAAAAAGCGCGTTCCGATTAATCGAGCACACGTTTGAAATACCACGAGGCAAGATTTCAGCTCCGTCCGTCGAAGATTCCGCCTTCGTGCTGAGGCCACGTCGGAGGTCCTCATTCGTAATCCGTTCTCGACCGTCCAATTCCCACGATTTTCCCATATCGCACCTCGCTGCGAGCTCGGCCGATACACGGACGTCAGTTCGATAAAGTTATCGTCGAGCCTTTGAGCGAGGATCATATCGCTGTCGGGATAGACGGCCAAATCTTCAAAGATCTCCGATATCGAAATGTTGTGTGTGGCGGTTAAATTAGCGTTCTCGATCGATGTCCTTCGATCTTGTAGGAGTAACCACTTGGTCGGGCCGATGAACATCCTTTCCGAATGTGCCTGTGACATCAATTGAGCAAACGATTAATTAACGATTACATCAATTCGTGTCAAGTGAAACAAATTTATTTAATTCAGATTGAGCGGTGTCGTTCGACATGACGGTCGAATAGCACACAAAAACGCACTCGGTACCTTTCGTAAAATCTCGATGGCATAATTACAATGCAAGTCCAGCGCGTACAGATTTCGATGTTCCAAGTTGTCATGAATCCTTCGGTCAAATTTCTCAAAGGAATTGCGAATGGCATGAATCAAACCATTGCTCGACATCTTTCTCGATAATTCGATTGTGTTGTCTGAAAAAAAGAAACGAATTGAGAGCGTTTTTTTTTTTACACATATAATATTTTCCATTAACCCTTGACAATGCGTTGTATTACAAACAAAATCAAGATCACAGTTTAAGATAATATTAATGGTTTTCATTCCATAATTGACTCCTTATGTGGTATTTTTTGATAATTTGGCGTCTATATTTTTGTCTACAATTTATACAGTAATTTTATTTAGCCTCTACAATTCATAATTTGGTTCGATTGACATAAATTACAAGTTGGAAAATCTTGCCATAGCTGATGCACAGATGTAAAGATACCCTCGAAGGTGAGAACAAGATGGGTGTTGCGTTTACGATAAATTTAACTATAACATTGTCGACGCGACTTGGGGACGAGTCATTTCCGCGCGGCATCGCGAGGATGCACAGGAGAAGAAGAAGCATTTCGTGTGCCTTTGTATCTGTCGAGCGACTGCGATGGAAAGATCCGCACCAGGAATATCGATAGTATCGATTATCCGCGCGCGCACCGTAATCCCCTTCTTTGCATAGCACGATGTATTACGGGGTTCCCGCCCTTAATAAAAGCGCTCACGAGTTTGCAGAGAGGCAAGGATGCAATAACGGGCAATTGAGTGAAATGAGCGTTATCGTTGCGTGTAAAAAATTCAGCGTCTCGCAACGAACGTTGTGTTTGAGACGACGTTACCCCGTCGACGGATTCTCGTCGTCTTTGCGAGCGAACATCGACACACGACCATTTAGTTTTTTTAAGTTTCCGTTTCAGCTTTCCGCGTTCCCACGGATATTCTCTTCGATACTGCGTCCGAGTGCATCATTTCGGACGATAATGATGACACGAGAAGCCTTAAGGATTCAGACAAAAATTGGGCTGCTACAATTCGCGTGCGAAGAACTGCAGTTGTATACTCCATCTAGTTTAAACTCACGGATAAATTCCACGCATGAATAAAACCTTCGGGGGATGTCTTTAGAGAATTATGTATTTTACCATATTTACGAACTCTCTCTCTCTCTCTCTCTCGTTGTATCCATAATGTAATAGAGAGAGACCTATTGTTTAGTTTTTTTTTACAATACACAACAAACGTTTCTTTTTATTTCATTTGGTCTAAGAGAGTTTTAGCATTTGCAAAGTGTTGCGCGTGTAATTATCTTTCCCGCGTTGCGTATATTGATACACAACTCCGTCGACAGATGGCAGTACGGCGCGCTTCGCCCTGTCAGCTGATCGTAGCTCGTATGACAGATGGCCGCGTTCGAGAGTGATTTTAACTCGTGTTTACGATAATTTAAATTTATAACGATAGCATTATACGAAGATATTACGAAATGGAACCGCAGGATATTTATTACAACAAGGCAGAATACGTCGAAACGGTAATAGATAGTTGCGATGCCTGCTTTGTAGCGACGATATCGACGAAACATTCGTTTGTTATCTAAAAGGTTAAAAGGGATAGACAGAAACCGATAAAAGTGATTCGATTAATCCAATTTATTAGCGTTGTAATTTGTATCTACGTCTGGAGTGTGTCTAACGTAATCTAACCTAACCAGATTTATCTAACCTCACTTTTTCTGATACTTCAGGCCTCGGGAAACAAGGTGAGCAGACTGACAGTCCTGTGCGGTTCACAGAACATTGTACTACACGGCAAAGTGATAGTGCAATCGGATGCTATCATCAGAGGCGACCTAGCGAACGTCAGAACGGGTCGCTATTGTATCATCAGCAAGAACGCAGTCATCCGGCCACCCTTCAAGAAGTTCAGCAGGGGGTAAATCGAATTCGCATTACCGTTTATTCAGGTCGCGTCGACCAATGTCCGTCAAAGCTATAATCGCTCGCAGCGTAACAAGCGATCTCAAAGACACAAGCGCACCTAGTCGTTAAGGGCCATCTACGATAGCCGTAAGTACGCAGTAAGATACAAACAGTAAGCTAATACATTTGAGAAAGACCGTGGTTGGTTAATTAGCTTACTGCTTACGTCTTGCCGCATACTTTGCGGCTATTGTAGACGGTCTTTTACAGGGCGATATAAAATTGTTGATCAGGGTCGCTTTCTTCCCTCTTTCGATGGGCAATCACGTGTTCGTGGGAGAACGGGCGGTGGTGAATGCAGCGCTGGTCGGCTGTTACGTGTACATTGGGAGGAACGCCATAATCGTACGTAAACAATGATCTTAGATTCGAGCGCGAGCTCATCGTCACGCTTGTCACGCTGCAGGGCAGACGGTCTGTCCTCAAAGACTGCTGCTACATCGAGGACGGCGCTGTCGTACCACCGGAGACTATCGTACCGTCTTTCACTCGTTTCGCCGGCAGTCCGGCGACTTGCGTCGAGGAGCTGCCCGAGTGCACGGTGGATCTCATGACGGACTTCACAAAGAACTATTACGAGCACTTCTTACCGGCGCGCGTCTAACGCACATACTGATACTTAGCTTTAGGTCGTCTTAACATTTCTACGCGTTTGTGCGTATACGCAGTATTACACCGGTTGAGAAAATTCCGAGGAGATGTTTCTTTATTGCATTTATTTCACCGCAATAAATTTCGTTACACATTGAAAACGGCAATCTTGTTGTCTAACTAACGTGCTTTCCAGTGAGCCTTGCACTACGTGTTTGTTAAAGCGATGTCCTTGTCGCGGAAACTACGCTCGGCGGGATAATAAAGTTTCTTCCGTGCAGATTATATCATTTCGCACGCTTAGTCGAGGTATTCAGCGTAGTCGATGGTTCCTGCGCTCGGCGTTTCCGCGACTGTTTTGCACATGTTTTTCCTGCAAAAGGGAACTTGGTGTAATAGCGCGAGATACACAGAGTCTCTCGGATCCTCACTTCTTGTGCCACAGCAGCTCGAGTGCAAACATGACCGCGGTGAGCAGCATCCCGTAGCCCATTATAACCAGCGCGAAATAGCATTCCGTGAAACCGATGGTGATAAAGCTGGTCTGACTCGCGCACACCGGCTTCTCCGTGTACAAGCGATACTCGTCGCGATGCTTGAGTCCATGTTCCTGCAGCTTCAACGCTCTGAAAGCACACACTTCTCGCGTTAAATCCTGCTGGCAGTAAAAATTTCCGGCGCGGTTCACCTTCAAAATTGCGGCTTTTCGCGGTATTTCACCGAAATCAATTCAGCTGAGAGAGCTATTTACCCATTCTTAATTATCTCCAAGTAAGGCGATTGCATTTGTATCACGAGCAGCGGTTGGAGAACGTGCAAGTAATCAATCTGAGTGATGCCGCACTTTTCCTCCTCCAAGTATGTGTCTTGCATGAGTTGGTACACCGTGCCGGTCTCGCCGTGGAATGCGAATAGCTCGTTTCTTACGCGACGTACGCCTTCGTCCAAAGTCATCCAGTTCGGCTTGCGTCCTTTCGGCTCGATCCTTTGTTCCAGAATCGCCTTCCTGACGGGATCTTGAAAAGCCTGCGATTTTCAACGCGCGGAAAATGCGCGCGTTTATTCTTTTTTTGCGCGATAAATTCAATTGCGTGAGAATCACGCAAGGTTGATTCATGGGCGCGATTTTCATTTACCACCAACCTTGAAGTAGTGATGATTGTACACGACGTCCTGTGCACCTAGCTTCAATGGGCTGTGCAGAAGATCCGGAATAGTTTGAATGGAATCCGTGGTAGACTGTAACAAGCCCACGATATTTGCTGTGTAAGCAGCGTAAAGGCTCAGCGATGCCACCAGCAGCATAAGAGTGACGATCCGTGTGGAGACTTTGTATGGCTCGTAAGCATATCCTGCCGACATATCCTTTCAATTTATCGCATCGAGAGATCCGAAAATATTTATTTTGTGCTCGAGAATTATTGAGAATTATTACCTTGTTGGGCAAACGCGCCCAGGAGGACGAGAAAATTGTCGCCGACCGTCGGCTTGCCGGAATTGAATTGACTCCAGTAGCTCGCCGAGTTTGGTGACGCGCCTCGGGAATGCTCCCATTTCATAGATAAGTATAGCAAGCAGAAGACTAAGAAGAGGAAGACGGCGATCGCTATCCAGACGTCCCGTTGGAAAGGTAAGGCGAATATATTTTTCACGGTCGACAGCAACGGCCGTCGAAACACGAAGGCCGACCTTTTCCCATGACACGAAAGATTTTAATGTGCGATTTAACAGCTAGATAATCAAACGACAGTTTTTTTTTATTCGCTTTGTTTCTATTGTCGTCTTTAGTAATAAGAGGCTATTTGTTCATTTTACTGGGTGCGCGTGTACAATTGGATGTATTGCACAACGCCGATACGTTGTGAGATGAAGAACGTGGTGGTGCCGCCGATGTCGATCTCGCGTCGTTCCAGCATCCCGATCATTCCACTCCAGGATCCATTCTCTCCGCGATATCCCCAGCTGTCCGTAATGTTGAAGCTTACCCTGTAAGCAACGAGTTTCGTCAACTCGACAAGAGTTATGATTCTTTGATCGCGGGGGGTGGACTTACGTCGCATTCATCCGATTTACCAAGTGTAATATCCAAGGATAGCTAGCCTTCGTGACGGGATCTACGGTTTTCTCCTCAAAATCGGTCAGATGATTGATCGTGTCAGGATTGGTGAGCTGCAATTGCGAGAATAGTCTCGGAGTAAAATCGATTTCGATCGTGCGTGTTGATTGATAAATTCAAAGAGTACCACGAGACAGGATTTAAGCTCCGTCTGTTGTAGATTCCGTCTTCGCGCCGAAGCCGCGTCGAAAGTCCTCATTCGTAATCCATTCCCAACCGTCCAGTTCCCACGATTTTCCCATATCACACTTCGCTGTGGACTCGGCCGGTACACAGACACGAGCTCGAGAAAGTCACCGTCGAATCTTCGCACGAGGACTACGTCGCTGTCGGGATATACCGCCAGACTCTCGAAGACTTCCAACACGGAATCGTCGATCGCGGTCCTTCGGTCTTGCAGCACCAGCCACTTGGCTGGAGCGATGAACATTTTCTTGGAATGCGCCTGTCGTATGTTATCCGGTAATTGGGGATCAACAGGAGAGATATATTAATACGAGCGCAGCTTCGTATCCGTCGGGTTATTTATGCCGCGTATCTCGTGACACAAGAACGTTTGGTACCTGTCGTAAAACATCGCTGGCGTAATCGCAGTCTAAATCTAACACGTACAAGTTCCGATGTTCCAAATTGTCGTAAACTCTTCTATCGAGTTCTTCGTACGAGTTACGGATGCTGTGCACCAGGCGATGTTTCGATAGTACTCTTGATAACTTTACCTTTTCATCTGAGGGCAAATTGAATTCTTTAATTAACGAACGGTACGCAGCTGTTGCCTATATATAGTGTATGGACCAGCATTAAGATGCATTTTTCTTTATTGCACAATATTGTACGACGAGATTTTCCCGCACGATATATAAACAAAGAACGTTTAAATTGAAACGACCGGATAACTCGTTATCATTTTCCGTTCCATCAGGTAATAACGATCGTTCTCCATCGATCATTGCCAAAAGCTCTTTCTTTACGTGCGATAAATAATAAACTCGTAAATCATGAATATGAAAATCTTGCCGTCGCTAATGCACAGCTGCAGGGATACTCTCGAAGGTGGAAACAAAACGGGCGTCGCGTTGACGATAAATCTCACGATAACATCATCCACGCGAGATGACGCGATCGTACGATCGCCGAGTGACAATGTGATCATCCACAGCGCGAAGAAGAGTATCATCCCGAGCGCTCTTGTTACCGTCAAGCAACTGCGGCGACGGTCCTGCAGGATCGTCGATCGGACATCTCCCGCGATAACCGTAATCTCTCTGCATACACAGCGAGCGCAAATAATTCCGTAGAATCGCTCGTTAAGCGAAACGAGAATATGATATGGAGCGATCGAGATAACGAGCACCGTTATGATTTATGAAATATTTAGCGCAAGTTGACGTAATAGATAGCCCGTCGACGATTACCTGTCGTGCCCTTCGAGCCGCCAGCTTTCCTTGTTCTCACGAATGAGAACCGCCCCCGAATACGTGATTTCATATGATAATCGTAAAAAATTAGACAGCGCTTATTCTATTGCACGCGACATAATCCCCCGTTATTACTGTCCTTTCGGAAGAATTATCCGTCTTCTCATCGCGAAACAAAGTTTCGCACTTTGCTCCTAAATTCATAAATTTCGAAATGATCGATATAAACGTATCTTCGTTGAAGTGTAGCCGCGAGCAAGCTAGTTTTAGTTCAGTTCTCGTCAAGCCGCATTGAAGTTCTCGTTCATAAGAGCGATATCACCCAAGGAGCCTGGAATTTACGCGCGTCAACCCAATGTTATTTCCAAAATTTTATATTACGCGTGCACGTATCCAGTGGAACTTGACAGCGTGGCGTCGAACGCGCTAAATCGACCTGATAGAAAAAGTGGTTTTTATTATAATTAGGAAAGCAACATTTCATTAATCCTCGTTATTAAAATTGGACCTTGATGGCGTTAACGGTTGAGAGACTCAAACATGTTTTTCGAAGATAAAATGATCACAAGTGCCATTTCCCGCCATTAATCGCGCGTCGTACACATTTGCCGTTGTAAACGTGCTCGTAAAGTGATAAAGATACAATGAGCACGTGCAATCTGTTCTGAAAACTTCCGCGCATGTGCATTCAGCATGTCGGTGACTTAATCCTTTCGGGCGTCTCTCGCTTCGCGAGAGTCCGTTTGTTAATTGCGAATTGTGTCGCCGTATATATACATATATATGTACATCTTATCTTTATTCGCCACTCATGTGAGAAGAGTCAATTGAATTGGTTTTCGATTAACCAACGTCTCGACTCAATTATGTTTCACCTGAGTCACAGATCGATACGTTGTTGAGAGACGCGATCGAGAGAAAAACGAGTCCTCTCGAATATCTTGCTCGCGCGGAACATGTTCGCGTGACACGTACCGACAATTAAGCGCAGCGCTGTGATTAGCGAGCGAATCGCCGCCTAATCAGATGGGACACGCAGCATTCATACGCGTCGTTGACGCAAATAATTAGTGATATGTAATAATACAAAGTGAAAAATTGCGTGATATGTAATAATACAAATTGAAAAAAGAACAATCACATCGCTGAGCTGACTCGGCGAGCGAGAACTGCATCTCCCCGGTGATATCTTATTTTCATTTTACGTGTCGTCGCAAAGTGGACGCGAATGTACATAAAGTTAAGAAGAAAACTTGCCTTACGTGAAATTCGGTTGGACAAATATTTCGAAATATTCTTCAATTTATGTTGAGGAAAGAGACAGAAATGAGCGACGCGCCGACTTGTTAATCGGTCACACTGGCAGCTCGCGTGATTAGGTAGTGATTGGCACGTGAGACGAGCCTCCTGTCGCTTCCTTATCAGCGTTTACTCGCGGGCAATGTACACTCGCACTCGATTCATTGGTACACGCGCTCGGGATTGATCGTCTCGTGACCGGGAATCCGCGCGAAAGGGGCCTCGCGCAGCCGGTTTTATTATCGTATTAAATAACGATCATTAATGAGTTTGCAAAATATGAGACGCTCGATCCATCGCGCAAGACGAAGTCCTCCGAGCGATTGAAATATGCTTTTATTACGTGGAATTATACAAAGCGCGTCACACCTTTCACGTGTGCATGCACCAAGTTTTTGCTGCATTTGCGCGCGCCAACTTTAGTAAGCGAAAATAATAGTTTAGAGATTAGTCTCCGACAAATTCGCGAAAGAAATTCTCCTTTGCGCTGATAAAAGGTTTGGCTCGTCGTTGCACTGCTACACTTTCTCGTCGTCGAGACGCGCAGCCGCCTCGGTACAATTACGAACGCGCTTTCGCCGCGGCAAAAGTTTCCGCAAAGTGCATCGTAGAAAATTTCCACGTGACGAATGAGCAAATGTCATAAGCGTAATTGCTCGAATAAAATACGCTCGTTGTCACGTTCGCGTCGTGTTTACTTTACGAATCGCGAGACGATCGTGACGACCTCGAAAATACCGCGCGCGATTCTCGTAAAAAGCATCCATTGTTGGAGCACTGTCGACGGTCGTCGAGACGGTCGAGTGTATCCAGTGGAAATATTATTTTAACAAGGAGAAAAGTAAAAATCGCGAAATCGTGCACTCGGCTTAAAAAGACAGGAAAAATGTTCTTTCGTCATACGCGCAGGCTAATTTACTTCTCGTCGGAACGCGTCACGTACAAAGTATCTGTCGCGTACGTTGTTTGAATTACTGGCAACGTTAAGAACCGGCGGAAGTAGAAGGGACAGCGGCAACAAGATCGGTGCCAGTTTGTCGACCCGCGAACGAGGTCGCGGTGATGGGGTCTGTAGGTCACAGTCGAAGGCTCCTTGACGACGCGTCGCGAGAGAGTCATTACCTCGCGAGCAAGTCCTCGTGTGAATTACGATTGCGATGCGGCCTCCTGCTGAAAGACGAGGAAGATTCCGAGTTTCTCCTTGGGCAAGCTCGTGCTCCTCGTACTTATCGATAAGTGCGCGATTTTCCGTCAGCATGTTCCGTCGTTGATTCCGCAAAACGAAAGCTTTATTTTTTCCGAGGAATTTTTCCTTTCTTTTCCTTTTTTACTCATTGCAGTAACGTGGTAGAATAAATAGAAGAAATATTTAAAAATTCAGATCTCCTTCCCAACCAAATGTATGCGTCGGTTATGTCGATCTGATATATATTGTCGTCGGACAAATTTTGCTTATTAATTAATATCTATAAATATTAACGACATAACGGCTCCAGTATCTCTGGAGACACTCGTGTGTTCGTTGGTTTTTTGATGATGCAACAGAAGTTACCAAATCAGAGTGAGACGTTGTCTCCACTATCGTCGGGCTCTCATACGTTAATAAATTCATCCGACTCGACCAATGAATATTAATCTTCTTGATTATACCAAATTCGATTATTGCGAAATCAATTCCACGCAATGCGAAATTAACGATTTCGAACATGCTCGATAATTTCGTATCGTTGATCAATGATTATTCCGTAATCCTTCACGCTGGCAGTCATTTGTTTATAAGTACACCAAAAATTTACAGTCAACAAGTAGCCAGAACAGTTCCCTTTCGCACGAATAGTTGCGAGGTGAATCTTTTCGAAGACACCTGTCGGCCTTGGATCGGTATTACGAATAGATTCGGCGATACCTGCGTCTGACATGCTGACACAAGCTTATTGGTTTTTATCGCTATCATGCCGACGAAACAATCAATATTATTTTATCGGATACACTTCTTAAACATACGTTCGCGATATGTTTGATCATTCATCGTGAATAATCGCTCGCTCGCTCGCTATTGGAATCTAGAGAGAGAGAGAGAGAGAGAGAGAAATCCAATGTTCGTGTAATACTTTCTTTGTTTTACGAGAAAATGAGTATAAATATTCGGAACAATCCGATCTCAGTTTTATTCTCGTGTTTTTCTCATCTGATTATCATTCGTTAATTTTGGGCTTAATTGATTTTGTGTTTATAGCGAGAGCGTCGTTGTATTCGTAATATCGCAAAATGTCGCTTCGAACGTTACGTAAAACTGTTAGGATCATAAATATTTGCAGAATGAATTGACCGTCGTCAATAAGAGTCTTCTTATCTCTATATTGGAAAACACAATTTTGTCTTTTCTGATAAGTATTTCTACTAATAATGAGACTTTGAACGCAAACCATTGTTGAACATTTTATTTGATGTATTGTAGATTCAACCACATGGTTAGTCGATGTTACTATACTCATATGTTACAATTTTCAGTACGGTCTCGTGCGCAAACGCAAAGTGCCAATTAACGATTCGCGCAGCTCCGTTATCGC